AACAAAGAGCACTATGTTGAGTGAAATAAGCCAGTCCCAAAGGGAAAAATACTGCATGATTCCACTTCTATAAAGTATCTAGAATAATCAAACTCATGGAAGCAGAGAACAGTGGTCCCCAGAGCCTGGAGGTAGGGGGAGATGGGAAGCGGTTGTTCTCAATGGGTAGAGTTTCAGCCCTGCAAGATGACGTTCTAGAGATCTGGAGGATGATAGAGTTAACATTACTGTGCTGTGTGTGCACTTAAACCACTTAAGAAGGTAGGGCTCATGTTAAGTGTTCTTAATAGACACACAAAAAGCAAAAGCGAAACAAGGAGCAAGGAAACTTTTGGAGGTGTTGGTTGTTTATGACCTTGATTGTGGCGATTCTTTCAAGAGTGTGTGCATATGTTCAAACTCATCAAACTGAACACATTTAATATGTGCAGTTTTTAGGATATCAGTTTTACCTCAATAGAGCTCTTTAAAAATAATTTTTAAAATCTAAACAAAAATCATAAAAATAGGAGAGCCTGGGTGGCTCAGGTTGGTCGAGCATCCACGCCTTTCTTTGGCTCAGGTCATAATCTCAAAATCCTAGGATTGAGCCCCAAGTCGGGCTTAGTGCTGACAGTGTGGAGCCTGCTTGGGATTCTCTCTCTACCTCTCTCTCTGCCCCTCCCCCACTTGCACACACATGCTGTCTCTCTCTCTCTCAAATATATAAACTTAAAAAAAATTAAATTAATAAAAATAGACATTCAATTAAAAAACAAAAAAGAACTTAATGGTGAGCAGACAGCCCAGAGATAGAGAAAACTGAGTCGTGAGGGCAGGAAAGTAATTAGCCAGAACATTCCTGGTCCCGGTGATACAAGTGGCAGTGAGGGAAGTGTGGCAGGTGCCCCACTGCTTACACAGCAGCTTTAGGGACAGCCACCAAAACATCTTGGGAAAAAATACTGCTCTGAAATTACAGGAGACTTCTTTCTCCTCTAGCTGGGTGGTCTTTGGCAAGTTACTGAATATTGTGTTGCGAGGAGTTGATGTATCGCTACTTTAAGCCCATCAGCTAATCCTGTACTATTCACAGCTGGCATCTGAGTATTTGCTATTTCCTCGTCTAGAACGGGACTGCCAGCTCAGGAAAAGTGACGCAAAGACAGTCCCTGGTGGGGACTTTTCCCCAGCACCTTTTCTCATCTCCCTTCTTGTCTCCCATTCCTGGAATAAACTGTATAGTTTAGAGTTCCCTCAATTGTCTAATTTCAAGTAAGAAGAAATACAGCTACATTTTACGTGGTGATCCAGTACACACACGGCTAGGAGTAATGTATGTTTTATAAAGAAAACTTAAATTCACTGGATGTGGTACAATATGTGTCTGTTGTACTGCATCTTTCAGAAAGAATGTCATGACCTCCTGACTTGACATCACAACCCTTCTCTAAGCTGCTATTCATAGTTCAAAAAGCACCACTACAAAGGGAAAAGGGGACTCATAAACTGATTATAATCTGAAGAAAACACTCCCTGAGGTCAATACTTCTCTTCGGTCTAGTCAGTGTTTACTAATTATCTTTTTAATAGTCATGGGGCGCCTGGGTGGCTTAGTCGGTTAAGCGTCTGACTTTCGCTTAGGTCATGATCTCGCGGTTGGTGGGTTCGAGCCCCGTGTCGGGCTCTGTGCTGACTGCCAGCTCAGAGCCTGGAGCCTATTTCAGAGTCTGTGTCTCCCTCTCTCTCTGACCATCCCCTCTTCACGCTGTCTCTCTCTCTCTCTCTCCTAGAAATAAATAAAAATATTAAAAAAAAAATAGTCAATGTTTACTACTTATCTTTTTAAATTGAGGTGTAATTGACATAGAACATGAGTTTCAAGTGTACAACATAACAACTTGGTATTTGTGTACACGCCCTGCAAAATGATAACCACAAATCCAGTTAGCATCTATCACCATACATAGTTACAAAACACTTTGTGATGAGAACTTTTAAGATCTACTCTCCTAGGAACTTCCAAATACATACTATGGTCTTATTAAACACAGTCACCGTGCTGTGTATTACATCCCTGTGACTTGTAACTGGAAGCTTGTATTTTCTACTCCTCCTTTGCCTGTTTTACCCACCTCTCGCCTGCCCCCCATCCCTGGCAACCACCAATCTGTCCTCCATATCTGAGTTCGTTTTGGGGGCGGGGTTGCTTAGATTCCACATGTAAGTGAGATCGTGCAATCAAGGTCTCTTTCTGACTTATTTCACCTGGCATAGTGCCCTCAAGGTCCATCCACGTTGTCTCAAATGGCAAGATTATGGCTGAAGGAAAAGTGCACGTACACATACATTTTCTTTATCCACTCATGCATCGATGGACACTTGTTTCTGGATCTTGGCTACTGTAAATAATGCTGCAATGAACACAGGGTGCATGCTGTTCCCCATAGCAGCTGCACCAATTTATATTCCCACCAACAGTGGATTCCCTTTTCTCCACATCCTCACCAACATTTGTTACTTATCTCTTTGATAATATCCGTTCTAACAGGTGTGAGGTGGTATCTCATTGTGGTTTTGATTTGCATTTCTGTGATGATGAATGATGTTGGGCATTTATTCCCATATACCTGTTGGCACTTACTAGTTAGCTTAGTTTGTTTTCCAAATTCTAGAAAGCGTGCTACGCAATGGATGCCTGGGTGGCTCAGTTGGTTAAGTGCCCGACTTGGGCTCAGGTCGTGATCTCACGGTTCAGGAGTTCAAGACCTACCTCAGGTTCTGTGCGGACAGCTCAGAGCCTGGAGCCTGCTTCGGATTCTGTGTCTCCCTCTCTCTCTGCCCCTCCCCTGCTTACTCTCTTAAAAGTAAACATTAAAAAAAAGAAAGAATGGAGCGCCTGGGTGGCTCAGTCAGCTAAGCGTCCAACTTCGGCTCAGGTCTTGATCTCACGGTTCGTGGGTTCGAGCCCCACGTCAGGCTCTATGCTGACAGCTAGCTCAGAGCCTGGAGCCTGCTTCAGATTGTGTCTCCCTCTCTCTCCGACCCTCCCCTGCTCACGTTGTCTCTCTCTCTCCAAAAAATAAATAAAACATTAAAAAAAAAGAGAAAGAAAGAAAGAAAGAAAGAAAGAAAGAAAGAAAGAAAGAAAGAAAGAAAGAAAGAAAGAAAAGAAAAGAAAAAATAAGAAA